TTCAACAAGTCACTTGGGAATTTCCAGGATGTGGGTACTTCTCCCCAACCTAACTTCTACATGGGAATATGGCAGTCTCTGACTGAGCAGAAAAACCAGTTTGTGAAACATTTACCCAGGTAATCTATTCAAAAGGAGGCAGCTCTCCATAACTTCTGGGGCAGGTCCAGACAAAGAGTGTGGCCCTGTGCAGCAGGATGAGTAAAATCCTTACGAAGCAAAGCTTATATCCCAGAATATTGCTCTGCAGCCTGTGAAGACCTGGCCACCTACAGACTGGCCAATTTGCCTCATTTTTCATCTTTTTCACGCATCTCTTTGTGACTGATGCTTTAGTGAGGGTATTATTATTGAATATTGAATAGAAGTTCACAGAGGTGGAACTTCACATATGAATTCAGCTAATTTTAAAAATTTGTTGTCCTGAGTTATAAAACCATTTATCTTGCTTGTTTTGTGAGGGACTATGCAGCAAAGAATGCTTCTCTTTGAAATATGTAATTTTCATAGAATTCAGATGTTAGAGACCATTCTCTTACAATCTTACAAGAAAAGACCCAGTGTCCAGCCAGTGTGGCTCAGGGGTTGAGCGTTGACCCATGCACCAAGAGGTTACCGGTTCGATTCCCAGTCAGGACACATGCCCAGGTTGTGGGCTTGATCCCCAGAGGGGGACATGCAGGAGGTGGCCAATCGATGTTCTTTCTCATCAATATTTCTCTCTCTCTCTCCCTCTCACTTCCTTTCTCTCTAAAGTCAATAAAGGAAAAATAAATTAAAAAAAGAAAAGGCCCAGTTAAGTGATTAACCGGGTTAAGTGACTATCCCAAATTCACAGTTTGTTAGTGGCCAACTCAGAACTTAATGCCAAAGGCTTCATCTCATAAGCATGATATTTCACTTCATTTACTACATTGCCACTCTTTCAAAGGCAACTGCTTTATTTATTTGTTTGTTTGTTTGTCTTGAGTGCCATTGGAGGAGAGAAAAATAGTTGGGCCAGACATAAAAAGGGAAGGAGAAAATAGTTTAAAAGAAAAAAAAAATAGGAAATTAAATAGGCTCAGTATGTGAAAGGTAAAAGTACAATCAAGAATTATCCAGCCCTGGCTGGTTTGGCTCAGCGGTTAGAGCATCGGCCTGTGGTCCGGAGAGACCCGGGTTTGGTTCCTGCTAAGGGCACGTACCTCGGTTGCAGTTTGTCCCCGGCCCTGGTGGTTGTGCGGGTGGCAGCCACTCGATGTGTCCCTTTCACGTCGATGTTTCTCTCTCTCTCTCTCTCTCTCTCTCTCTGTTCCTCTCTCTCCCTCCCACTCTATCTGTGCAAAAAATGGAAAAATGTCCTCGGGTGAGGATAAAAAAAAAAAAAAAAAGTATCCAGGTGCTACATGGAAGACCAAGAAGTCTGGCCATGGGCTGGGCTGAGTATTTCTATTATAGTCATGGGTTTGGGTTTATAGACTGTAAACCCAAAATGTATCTCAGAGATAACACATGTAGAATGCATACTTTGGAACTAATCCAAGATCCCCTGTTCAAGGCTAACAACTTATTCATGCGCTGCTGGGAATATTGGTTCCTGACCATTCACATCTGGGTCAATCAGTAGGCACTATCCTCAGTGAACAACTTTGCAGAATATGCAGACACAAAGGCCCAGTCCCCTGGGCTCAATTTGGTCCAACTCTGAAGAGCGACCCAACTTTAGTCCCCCCTGACTACAGGGTCAGCTCGAACCATGTTGAGTGGCAGCTTCTCCCTCTGCCCAACCCCGCCAGTCTCAATTCCTTACAGGTGTATCTTTTTAATCACTCACCAATAAACTTTCTTCATGCTAAGTATGTTTTCAGGTAACTCAATCTAAGATTCCACTCAAATTCACACTGTGTGTATCACTCAAAATTTGGACTAAAACCCAGATTTCCTACATCATGACATTGTTAACCCAAACTGCAATACCTCTTTCTATAGCTAAAGCTCTTTTCACACACCACTTGACATAATCCATCCCCCTACCAGGGGTGGCCTCCCAAGATACAAGATGTGGGATACTGACCATCAGTTTGTCACACAAGATGACTTTGATAGTACTCGGATGGGCTGGTTTTTACTTTAATAGTTATTATCTCAGCTTGGGATTCCCAGAAGCAGACCCTGAGATGAGGACTCAAGTGAAAATGATTTATTAGCACCTAGGCCAACTTCATTGATGTATAACCTAGAGAGTCTCATACAGGGCCCAGTACTTGGTTTAACATTCTTGAAATTTTAAATAATAAACTTAAAAAAAAGATCTTGTATTGGGTCCTGCAAATCACATAGTTGATTTTGATTAGGACGTGTTACTCAGAAACACTGATAGAGGAGTGGGAAGCGGGGCAAGGTAAGAAAGGTAAGCAGGAATAGGTGGAGGGGAAATAGATGGTGACTGATGGACATTTGGTGGTGAGCATGCTATAGTGTACACAGTTATTGAATTATAATGTAGTACAGCTGAAATTTATATGTTGTTAACCAATGTTACCTCAATATCCAATAATAATAAATGTGATATCAAGCAACTTTCCATAAGAGAAGAGAAAGAATTTTGCCCAATCTTGTAGGGAGCTCTGTAAACAGTGGAGATCCAACCTCGACTTGTCCCAACTGCAGGAACTGGAGAATTTTATCTCCATACTCTTTAGTCACTGGGAAAAGGCTGGGCTAGGGGCAGGGACACATTATTTCCTGGGCACTTTCAGCTGCCCCACTCGTAGGTAAAGCAAATCCTGGAAGCTGAGGATGGTGCTCTGACAAGGAGGTCCTAGTGATGAGAATAAAAGCACACCTGAAACCAGTGTCACAAAATTTGAAAAGGATTGGAGGGGATATGGTAGTGCACTGACAGGAATTGCTGGAGCTGGCTGTGTACTTTAAAGTGACCTAGGGTAAGAGACTGATGCTTGTCTATCAAACGCAAGATTTTAGGGGTGAAGTTACTAATAGCAAGGTAATCTATGTAAAAAATAACAAAAGTAAGTCAATTAAAATAGTAACTAAAAAATCATATAGGAGGTACGATGATATGAAGATGAAATACGAATGGCTAATTAGATCAGTGCTTCTCAAATTATCTGTGGTATTTCATTTTCAATTTTTTGCAGGCTGATGGCTTTTATACAACATGATAGATACAAAATGGATAATGAGAAAATGAAATAAAAGACATACAATACGCAAGGCCATATTTTTAGTTATTAAATTCAATGGGCAGAAAATTACTCAGTCAAATTGCTATAAAAGTTTCTACATGCTCATCTTCAATGTCTATGCTTATCTCATTACAGATGAGTAACGGATCTCAGACTGTCACTGTTCTATGGACCACACTTTGAATAGCACTGGATTAGAAAACCTTCAATAAACAACTAAAGTTTCTGATGCCTCGGGTTTTAGGATTTTTTTTCAAGAGACGACTGAGATTATGTACACGAAAGCATTTATTAAACTATAAAGTACCCCAGAAATGGGAATTACTGGTAGGAATATAGGATTTGATTCTATAATCTGTGGCCAAAAGATTAAAGCGAAGGGTATGACAGTCTCCGTCCCTGTTGGCATCACACTGTTCTGTATGGGTGTATCCTGGGAACTGTCAGTGTCTGTAAATCAGTCCAGCATTTTCTACCACTGTACAAAGCAGGAAATAAAGGGCACCCCTGTTAGACTGTGGCTTGCACCACAACTATTACCACCATCCACAGGTTGCTATAACCACAATCCTGGGGCAAGGCATCCAAGGAGAAACTTCTTACCTCCAGTATCCCTTCTGCAGTCTGATCAAATGGTTTTACCAGAATGACATTTAAGTGGTGGTCAGAAAGAAAGAGTGAAGATAATGTCCTTACTGCCGGCCTTGGTTCCTAGGTCCCCTGGGCCTCACTTCCCTTCAGTTGGTGAAACTCAACTCACAGACATCCCTCACCCATGCTCTTAGACTTCAAGTATCGATTCTGCCCACACTGGTTCTAAGTGACCTACTTTGGCCTCACCTTCTCTGCTATCTCCACCCTGTCAAACAAGAAAGCAGATATTTAGGGATATAAGGGGAGTCGGCTAAATAGTAAGATTTCTGAGCGTCCGTCCTTTTTCCTCTTTCTGTACGTTTTGAGGGAGCAGTCCCTGTCTGATCCATCTTCGTTTCTCCCCCATTATCTTTAACATAGCAGGAGCTTAATAAATGTTCATTGAATGACTGTACGAATAAATTGAAGTCTGTGGAAACAGAAGTGGCTCTTCAAGCTGCCGGACCCTGAATCCATCCAGCAAAAAAACAAAAAACAAAAAAACAACAAACCAACCAAGTCCAATTAATTCATTACGCAGAACTCTGCCAGGTGCTGGGCTTTCGGAAACACAAATTTCATGGGAGAGAGATGGAGGTGAAGGTCATAATGGGTGGATTTACTTCGCACACAACAATCCGCAGTACATCTCCACTTTCTGGGAAACAGATCTCTCCGTGGCCCCGGGGCCCTTTAAATTTCACTGTGACTGTTTTCTTAAGAAATTCCTGGAGCGGAGCCTAAGTTTGGTGTAGGGGGTTGGCAGCGCGCAGATTCGCGGCCCAGGGGACTGGCGGCCGGGGTTGGCGAGGCGTTCGCTCGCGAAGGAAACTTCCGAGGAGTCAGCAGCCCCCTGGAAGGTAGGGAAGGGGAGCCCGGAGAGTCCTTGAACTCCAGGGCTTCCGTGAATTCGGGAGCGGAGAAATGCGAAGGGCTAAGGCGGCCAGACGTTTGCGGAGTTTCGCAGCTCCCGACCTCCCCCATCTGCCCGCCGGGACGCGACCCGGGATGGGCTGCCGGAACCGGGAACAGCCGGAGCGTCTGGGACAGAGGGAGGGCGAGGGCCGCAGGAAGGAGTCTGGGCCGCCACCGCCCCGCCCGTCGGGCTGTCCGCCCCGCCCACCTCGAGCGAGGCGGAGCCGACGCGGGAGCAGCGGGAGGAGAAGGAGGTGGAGGAGGAGGAGAGGTTGGAGCCGTCTCCAGGAGCCCTTAGAGACCGAGTCCCCGGCGGCGGCGGCGGGGCAGCGCACCGGCAGAAGAGTGAGCACCGAGCTGCGGACGCAGGTGGTGAGTCGGGTCCCTGCGGGGACAGGGGCGCAGCGCGGGGCGTCGGCCGGCCAGTTCGGGGGCCGCCTCCGAGTTCCCGGTGCTGGGAAGCGAGATGGAGGGAGGGAACGGAGGAAGGAAGGAAGGAGGGAAGAGTGTCCCGGAGGGCGGGGACTGGTCGGGGCACTGGGCGCCGGAGAAGGGGATGGGGGAGGGAGGGCACGGGACGCGGAGACCGGGGACGGACGGCGCGCTCGCCTCGACGGGCGGCAGCCAGGGCTCGGGAGCAGGGGGACCCTCGGGGCTGGGGCTGGGGAAGCGGCCCCTGAGATGGGGGCGGGAGCGGGGGAAAGGTCTCCCCGCTAGCTCCTGTCCTCGCTTCTCCGGGGTGGTGCGCCCCGCGCCGGGTTGGGGCTGGGAGGCTCCCGCGTTCCAGCCCCGGCTTTGCGGTGGTGCCAGGTTTGGGAGGAGGTCCGGCCTCTGGGGGCCACCCGGCGCCACGCCCCTCTTCCCCGACTTTCTTCCGCTCTTTCTCAGGACTCGCCGGCGGGTGCGCAGCCCGGCAACCCGCTCGGCGCCGAGGGTCTAGGGGGGGAGATAGCGGGTCACCCAGAGGAGGACCCAGAGCACACGTCCCGCGAGGGACCCTGCGAGCAGGTAGTGACCCGGAGACCGCATTTGCAGGTGATAGATATATGGGGAGGTCAAGACTCAGATGTGAATCTTGCGTGATTTTAAAAAAGAGTATTACTCGGGCACATTGCGTGGAACAGGGTGACTTCCTTTTTTATTTTGTTATTTTTTAAACTTCAACCAGGACATATCAATTAAAGCTGATTTTCAAACGCCGAAGCTAAAGACTCCCGACACTCACTTGTCCTTCGCCTTACGTTTGTGTCTTGTAAACTTAAACCATTCATAACTTTTGAAAAGGAACTGGTGATTCTCGTGAAATCACTGCCGCGGAGTAAAACTTCGGACCACTAGAAATCTCAAAGAAGGAATTGACGGGGCCTGTCATCTTGTGGTCTCCCCGGTCCGGGCGTGGTTGTATGTATACAAACAAGTGCTTAGCGGAGGAAATGGACAAAAACCGGAGAGAAGGGAGGTCCCCTGTGCCCACGTGTCAGGGCACGTTAAATGGCTGCTCCGAGTGGAAACAAACCGGGAATTTATTAGACCTTGTGGAGTTGGAGAAACTTCACCTGATCAGCTTCCTTCCCATCGGTTTGAACCCCCCACCCCCAACCCCGTTGTCTTTGCGGACGCTGTTTATATTTCCCGGGGCTGTTGTAGCTTCCTTTGAGTAGATGGTCTAGTATGAATCTTTTGGATGTTGTCAGAGGCAGGGGCTGTGTCTGTGTGTTCTCTACTTGAAAAGCGGAGTTTGCCGTGGTTTTTAAAGTGCTAGTCACTGTACTGCACCATTGCTGGTGCTTCTCAGCCTCCGTGTCAATTGTTGCAGGATGGCGGCCCTCACCTAGGAGAACCAGGAAGGCAGGCAGCCATGGAGGTGGGTTTTACTATTGCCAAAACAATCACATTCAAGTAAGAGGCTGTATTTTATTTTCAAGCCAAATTGTATGTATTAGCAATCCCCTTTCCAATAAACAAACATGATTCACACACCACATAATTTAAGAATGTAATCAAATGTTTTATAGAGACTTCAGTGACAAAAGGACTTTGGGATCAAATAAATGTTCAGCCCCTTTGAGTTCCCTAACAGTTAACTAGCACCATAAAATCTTGGTTCAGGTCCAAAAAATGCTGAACAGTCTAAGAACTGCGACTTTAGACCTTATAAAAAAAATGCAGTTGTATTTTTTTTTTTTCTGCAGTCGTATTTTTACTGTTTAACCCAGGTATTGAACCCCGACAACATTTAGGTTTGTGTAGAAATACATAAATATGTGAATCTGTGTTTCATAAGAGACTGAAAAGATTAATATCATAACATTTTTCTTTGTTTTGAGCTCCAGGCTCATTGGAAAGACTAGCTCTCTAACAATGAGATTTTCCGTGTTGGGCTTGTGTTGTCACTTGTTGAAGGACATGGGTGGTTTGTCAGACTGTGACAGCTAAGAGCTTCATAGTGAAAACACTTGAGGAAATGGTTAGCAAATACAAGATTAGTTGTTGTTTTTTTATGTTCAAAACCTCCTCTCTGGAAGAAAAAGAAAATTCTCGGGGGTGGGGGGGGGCAAATGGTGATGGAAGGAGACTTAACTTGGGGTGGTGAACACACAATACAATATATAGATTATATAGACGATGCATTATAGAATTGTACACCTGAAATCTATATAGTTTTATTAACCAATGCCATTCCAATAAATCCAATTAAAAAAAGAAAATTCACATTTAGAATCATGTCATTGATTGTGTTGGATTTGTAACTGAGTGTTTTTTGTTTTGCCTTTTTTTATAGATATGTCAGCTTAAGCTTAATCTAGGGAGTAAATTGTGGAAGTCAAATAAAATTTTTCCAAGGCCTGATTGGAAAGAGAAGCAGTTTAACAGTGGTTTGTGGTGTGGGTTTTGGTGGCATACAGTCAGACCTGGATGGGAATATTAGTTATTTAACCTTTTTCAGTCTGACTTGTGAAATGGGGATGCTAGCGATCTCTATTTTTATGGTTTTTATGAAAGTATATGAAACAGTCTTTGGAAAACACTTTGCACCTAACACAGTTAATGTTCAAAATTATTAGATATTTTACTGATATAGCTGACTCAGGCTATTGGATACATTACGAGAAGCAGTTTGAACCTTCGGGAAACGCAGATAGTGCAATTTTAGATTCTAAAGAAGGTACCTGATTTTATACATAGATTCATAAATAGATGTAAAATATTTTTGTACATGTGTGTCATGTTTTTACCAGTGATATGAATAATTATGAAGAATGGATTAACCGGTTTAATATGCTTTTAGCGTTGAAGTTACAGATGTATAATGTTTTTTAAAACTAGGCAGTCAGAAACATTTCATCAATCATATTTAAATTTAAAGAGAATTTGTATTTCAAATAGTTCTGTTTATTAGCCCTGAATAGGAAATTAAACCAGGAACAGAAGTATTTGTCTTAACCAACTATGACTTTTAATTAAAGTATGAAGAAATGTGACCCAGGGGTATCCAGTTATTTACTTTTTCGTGTACTGATGTCCAGTGCCAACAGATAAGCCATAAGTAGTGTTTAGAACCGATTGGAAGTGTTCACTAAATGTTTAATAAAAGCATTATGATATTATAAACTTTTTTGGGAGTGCATATTTAGTTAATTCAGGAAATCTCATCATTTAATCATTTGCAAAATTTTAAAAATTGCTTTCATCTTTAAAAACAAACCCTTTAAAGTGGCTATTGTTTTTTTTTTTTTCCTAATGCACATTGGGTGCCTAGGATTGGACTGATTGGAATCATAGCTCATGCCACACATGACTTCTCATTTTACTAATTGTTCCACAGGGACACAGAAATGGTGCTTTATATAATATTTTAAACATAACTGTAAATCATTTCTTGCCTATCACATTATGCTCTGAAGCAGTGGAAGACTTGACTGAATAAATTATTGATTTTTTTTTTTTACTCCTAGAACATCATAGCATAGTGATGGATTCCTGGCTTATGCTTCAAGGTGTGTAGAGTGTGGGCACGTTACTTACTGTTTCTGTGCTTCAATGAGGTGTTGTGAGGAACACGTGAGTTAATCTATCTAAAGCGTTTAGAACAGTGCCTGACCCATAGTCTGTGTTCAATAAATATTAATGTTAAATTACTACTTACTGAAATTTTCTCTTTCTAAATGTCATATGATGAGCATATATTATGTTTGTAACAAGAAAACAACTATACAAAATTTCAGTGGTTCCCCAAAATCTAAAAAAGCTCAGTAATTAAAAAAAAAAAAATCCTGCCAAGCAGTACTTATGAAGTAAGAGAATATAATTAGGCAATTGTCATTGCATCTTTTAAATGTGAGATGGATTACAAAATTCTCCTAGATCTAGAGCTTATTTTTCTTTCTTATTAGAAACTTTAAAAAAAATTACTGATCCATGAAGTCCATGTTAGGGGAGGTTAAGTAGGGAAAGGGCAGTGTGCACAGTGATAGTGCATTATTACAGTTACCACCAGGTTTTAAAAAGTGTATGCATAGAAAACAGTCTGGAAGAAATCCATACAAAGGGATGGTGGGACTATGGTGCTTCCCCCTTTCCTCCCCCCATTTTCTCCAATGAGCATGAATATATAATAAAGAATAATCCATTTGTGTAAGAGTTGTTCAGTAAAAATTCTGGTTTATTAGCTACAAATAGCAGGATTTTGCTGTTATTTTAGAAAAAACACTAGCCCACATAGCAATTAAATGTCAAAACCTTGGTAGTGAGAATTGTTTAACAGTAAAAGAGAGGTTCTCTCAGAAGTTTGCAGATTTATTATTGTACAAGATGTTTGAAATCAGGGTCTGCATACAGACCCAGTCCACCAACTTTGACTCACGGGAGTTGTCATTTCCCAGATCCCAGCCCTGCATTGACCAGTTGTCTGCACACAGCACCTTCAGCATGTCAGATGCCTGCAAGGCAGTCACGAGGAAGACATACAAGTGCACGTAATTTTACAGGAAAGTTCGATAGATAAAAAATGCTCTTGGCAGAATTGTGCGACTCCACTGATTGAGCCGTTTTACATTTTGGGCCCAGGTCTAGGCCCTTTGCATACATGGTCTTGCTCGATCTTCTCAACAGGCCAGATGAAGAAACTGAGGCTCCCACAGTGGCCAGACCAGAAGTCCACCCAGAGTTGTTCTGACTCCACGTCCCATTCACTAAGCACTGTGGTAAGAGCTGAAGTTGAGGTGCATCCAGCTCCTTTTAGGGGTGAGATGACCCACCTGAGAATTTTCATTGCCTTTCATTGATCTCATCCTTCTTCAGCCATAGAAGTTGAAACTTGCAAAATTACCTCAGATACCCAGCAGGCCTAAAGTGATCTGTGAAATCAGCCT